TATCAAACAGTCTAGTCAGGAAGACAGAGCCTCTGCGAGTATTGTGACATAATGGCTATTTATGGGAAGGGAACTCATGCCATTATAGGAGAAGCTAGGAAAGTAAAGGTCCCAGATTCTCATAGACAGAGAGTTGGAGGACCACAGAAATTTCACTTATCTGTTCTCCTGAAGCTGTGGCATGAGTGGAAATGTTGGCATTGGCAGGAGAATCTGAGAACTCAAACCCATCGAAGAAGCCAAAGTGGGACAATGAAGGGGGAGCTCAAGGAGAGAGGTCTATGAAAAGCTGTTGGCTCTAAGCAGCTACTGTCTCTGTGGGTTCCCCTGCAAGCCTCTGGTGGGCCTGAGCCACTGTAGGTCATCAGAGCCAGTAGCTGGAAGGAAGAGCTGGATGCAGAGTGGAGGAGAGTGAAGACAAAGTAGAACCTACTGGCATATCTCCATCTGTTCCTCCCTGTATCTGATCATAAAACAGCCTTCAGAGAGTAAGGACTGTTGCCTTCCAAACTCACACACGTTTCTTTTTTGACTAACTCTAACCTGGAACTGTACAGGGAAGGCAATTTGGGGGAACGTAGTTTCCAGCTTAACTAAATGGCCAGCAGGGCAATCCAGACACTCTGAACATCTCTTAATTATATCTGAAAAGCTTTTCAAGGTCCCAGAGAAGATGTCAGAGAGGCTCCAGGATGGAGCTTGGGAACATTGACAAGCAAAGCCCTGAGGCATTTGGGCTTATAGGACGACAGCCTTTTCTTTTTTGCCTCATGTCTTAAAGTAGTATGAGCATTACTGGCTTGGGAATCAGAATGCTGCATTGTGGACCTGAAGCCACTACTCACTAGGTAATGACCTTGCTTGATCCGTTTAAGTCATCTTGGCTTCTAGTTTTTCATTGAGCAGCTGCCAATGTATTTGTAGGCTCTGTTGAGATGACTTTATGGACATGTGGAGAGCAGCCATAGCTGTCTTCCCACAGAAATTTGGCCAACTTTTCTGCTGCCTAGCCTTCGCTTTGCCTCAGAGCTTTGTGCTGTTTCTACTAAGGCAGAAAATTCATAGGAAACAGGCTCTGGCTTCTCCTCAGAGCTTTCTTCCCTGCCTCTTGTCCCCAACAGAACCCCTTTCCTACATCAGGTGGTCGTGACAGGGGAGGGGCAATTGAGACTCTACATGCCCCAGGACTTCCCAGTTCTCTCTGCCTAGTTGTTCTCTCTACTGCCGCCAGCCCTCCACCTACTATTTCTACCTGCCTAAATCGTACTCACCTTTCAGTCCCTAGCTCAAAGAACAATCTCTCCTTCCTAAGTATTTTCTGACTCCCCTCAGCTGGATGCAATATTTTCACTTTTTAAACCCCTTCGGCTTCCTAGCTTTCACTGCAATACCTATACTCTGGCGATTCCGTAACACATGCACATTTGAGTTCTTATCTTACTCTCCTACTAAATTTTAACATTCCCAGAGGCAGGGGATCTGCACATTAAGCACATGCAACATATAAGTAATTTTTCGCATCCTTCTCATTATAATGCAGACAGAATGTGGTATCTAAGTATTTGTTGAGTTGAGAAAAATATATAAATATTTGTTGAGAACATGCATCCATGTTTTGGTGCCCTAAGTCACAGTAGTCTGAAAGGACACGGCTGTCCATAATAAGAAATAGAAAAATGAAGTCTATGATCCCTAGCCAGATGGTTCTCTATTATTATGAATTTTGTGTTTTCATTTGATAAGGAATTTCCCTTCATCGTGTTAATATGGTGACCTCTAAATGGGACCCTGAAATGGGACAGTCCAAGCAGAAGCCAGGGCTCAGTCCTTGCCTGGACTCAGAAGTCAATGGTTTTGTAGAATTTTACAATCGTAGCAGGGGCCGCATCTATTAAGCAGGGCCAGTGACCCCTCTGTTTAGGTTATGGCTGGAGCTGTCACTGAGCTACATCCTCTCTGGGAGACAGTCCATGCACCCAAGATAAAGTTTCAAGAGGCCCTTGAGCCAGAAAAGTTGTTTGGCAAAGTGCCTATGTCTTTGGTCATATGCTCTGTGGATTGGGGGGTTCCTTTCTCCGGGGTCAGGACAGTTCCAAAGCAAAATTGGTATCAGGAAATGGTCCTGGTTATCTCTCTACTCTTGAGCAAGTCACTGCCCCTCTCTGGACCTCAGTTTCCTCTAGAAGGAAGGGGATTGAAATAGTTCTTAAAGGTCCATCCCTCCCAGCTTGAATATTCGAGAACTCTATTCTGAGCTGCAGGCTGAATTCCCATGGCCCTGAGGCCCTCTCTCCCCTGCTTCTAAAGGTGTATTTGGCTGAGAATTTTCCACAGGCCGTAGCCGGGGCATGCTTACCCATTCTCTGAAACACCCTGGCTCTGCAGGTGATGATCGTTTATCTGCCATTATAAAAAGTCCTTAAACCTGCAAGTTACAAAGAGGGAGGTTGTTTATCACAGCCCTTCATTAGGTCTCTCCCTAATCCAAATTACTTCTGGTTGGTTTCACTTGAAAGTGCCCCTGCTATAGGTACTACGGAACCCAAGAGACCTTGGGGGTACCGAATTACAGGAAGGAGGCTGCTGTCTCTGAAAGTGTTAATGCTCAAGGCATGACTCTTCATTAGTAACTGATTCTGTATTACATGGTTATAGACCACAAACAAGTTCAAGTTCATCAAGTTCTCCAGCAGGAAACAGTCTGAGCATTGAAACTCCTCACCATCCTCTGGTTGGTTTATTTACTATATGAACATGGTGACTTGTTAGAATACTAGGATGTCAGAACTGAGAACATAAAGCTCAGCTGGTTCAGACTCCCGTGGGTAGCTGAGAGCTACCGGAGTCAGCCCTGTAACAGTTCATGGTGGAGTCAGGAATAGGGCTCAGGACCTACTGCCAGGTCCACACACTTCACTCCAAAGCAGAGATTACCAAGAGAGTGCACTCCAGTTCATGCAGTTATTCATGCAAGAAGCCTTCTCCCAGGCCCTAACTCTAAATCTATTCAGTCTTATTTTTATTAAGTTCTAACCATAGCAGCTTAATTGGTTTCTATTTAACAACATATTTCCACGAATAAACTGGTTTAAAAAAAAACAGGACATAAAACACTACATAAAGAAGACATAAGAATTGCAAAGGCGCTGTAGTCTGGGGACCTTCAGTACAGGGCAAGCAACATTACACAACTCAATATCCCCGAGATAGTTGATGTTCATAATAATGTCCCTGGATCACTAAGAAGGGTTAACATGTTTTTGCCTAAGAAAGCAGGGATTTGTATAAAGGACTTTAAAAAGCATTACACCCCCCAAAATTTTTTTAAATTATAGTTAGGTAAAACTTCAGCTACATGGAAAACAGTCAAAATAGCAAACCAGCTGTGATGTTCAAGGAAGTGACATTTCAGCTGTGCAGATAGGTACATTCTGCAGTAGTAAGGCTGGTGTGAGTTTGGCTAGTATCTGCAGAGAAGAGGAAGAAGCAGCAAAGCCATGATCTCATCTTCTGTTTACACTTCAGTTCCCAAAGTTAGTGATTAATTGTCCTTGTGTTTTGTTGCCAGGGAAAATTGTTTTTCTTTAAAACTCCCACTTATTTTAAATAAATAAATCATTAGTTTCAAAACAGAAGTGTCAAATGTCAAGATACTTCTGACATACTAAGCTAATGAACAAAACAATGAATTTACTAGAAGCTACTCGAGATGAGCAGTCTTTGAGAATGTTCCTTTGATGACTTTGAGAGGCAGCAGAAATCATTCTTGATAAGAGATTTTCCCATGAATCTTAGTTAAAACATCAATCTAGAGGTTGCAAACACAACCTTAAAAGAATAGGGATAAGTATAAATGATAGAGGTAGGCCAAGTGTTGGTTATCAAATAAATATACCAACCAGCTACTACACTGTGCTTCCCAGACCGAACTCACACAAAATCAGCTTTAGGCAACCAGTTTAGAATCTCTCCTTGGGTCTCTGAATTTACCTAGGGCCTCTGGTTCCTCCAAAGTAGGGAACTATTCTTTTTAGTAAATAGATAATTCTTGCATCTGAGTTTTAACACAAATGCAACTATTTCTGGGTGATTCCAGTAGTCTCTGAATTATTAAGAGTACCTATTAAGTAGAGTTCCAATTACATGTTTTCCCTTTACACACAGGATTGAGTCACTTCTTGTTATTATGGCATTCAAGGTCAACCATAATCTAGTTTTAACCTGTCCTTCCAAATATATTTCCTCCTACATCCCCACAGACTGCCTGGCTTTGGTCTCGTTCTTAGAATAGGTCTGGCACTTTCAGCTCTTGATGACCAATATTTATTGGGTAACTACTATGTGCTGGGTCCTGTTCCATTCACTGAAGACATATCTGTAAAGAAAATACAGTCTCACTCTCCTGCAACTTACATTTCAATGGAGATGTTTCATCTCCTTCTGAGTGCATTCCCAATGCCAACACTTCTCCCACTGTATGATAGCTCTGTCTCTGCCTGTTTTCCTCCATCTGAACTCTGCCTCATTCTGCACAGCTCAGTGTCTGACTCATCTCCCATCACCCGCATACTATGCTTTGCTCAGTAGAAGGCACACACTGAATGCTCAGTGAATGACTTACATTGTGTATAAAGTTTCTTTCCCTGGCTACCTAAGTTCCTGTTGCATATAGAATCCATCTGTGAGATTGCGTAACTCTGGATTTTAACATTGAGTTGTTTTTAACAAATAGGCCTTTTTGTTGTCAACAGGAATGACAAATGTCAAGCTACTTCTGATGGACCTAAACAAAATGAATGAACTAGTGACTGGATGGCCACATTGACTTAAGCTGTTATGTGTCTTTCCTCAAATCCCAGAATCCCTAAACCCCTTTCTTTGGGCTTCCCAGGCTTCCTGGTCTACTCATGGGCAGCCCCTCCCTCTTTCCTCCTGGAGACCAGCAGGGAAGCTAACTTGAGAAGCTGTTCATCTTGTTCCCTTTCTCTTTGACCCCAAAGGTAGAAACTGAAGACCAGGTGCTGGCAACCTTTTGTGGCAGGGAGACCACAGACACGGAACAGACCCCTGGCCAGGAAGTGGTCCTCTCCCCTGGCTCCTTCATGTCCATCACTTTCCGGTCAGATTTCTCCAATGAAGAGCGATTCACAGGCTTTGAGGCCCACTACATGGCTGTGGGTAAGTTGAAGAAATGGGTGGTTCATCCCCAGGTCTCCCTTTCTCTCTCAATATTAAAAGTTCCTTGTGCTGTCTTCTTTACAATGGACACTGGTGTACTCACCACATAGATTCTACCATTAATGTCTTACAGCATTTGCTCTGTCACATATCTATTTATCTGTCTGTTTTTTGTCTATATATCTTTTTTTTGATGCATTTCAAAATAAATTGCAGATATCAGTATAGCACTTCCTAAATACTTTGGCATGCATATTGTTTATCAAAGGTTCAATATCCACATTTTTTTCTCTTAACGTAAAATTTACATTCAATGAAATGCACAAATCTTAAGCACATTTGTTGAGTTTTTAAAGATTTATATTTGTATGTAACCCAAACCCCTAACAAGATGATGAACTTCACGGTCAACCCAGAAAGTTCCCTCATGCTCCTTCCCAGTCGCACCTGTCCCATCTCCTTTAGAGGCCACATCGTCCTGATTTTTTCCCCACCCACCATAGATTAGTTTTGTCTCTTCTAAAACTTCATGTAAATGATCACACAGAGAATGTATTTTGGGGGTGAGGATTCTTTTACTCAGAATAAAGTTTTTGATATATATTCCTATTGTTGCAGTGTATCAGTAATTGCTTCTTTGCTTGCTGGAATAATTTTCTATTGTATAAATATACTGTAGTCTGTTTATCCATTCCCCTATTGACAGACACCTGAGTTCTATCCATGTTTTGGCTCTCAGGGATAAAACTCTTATGAACCTTTTTGTACAAGCCTTTTTGTGAACATATGTTTTCACTTCTGTTGGGTAAATATCTTGGAGCAGAATTGCTGAGTCATTAGGTAGGTATATGTTTAGTTCTCTAAGAAATTGTCAGACTTTTTCCAAAGTATTTGCACCATTTTGTATCCCTCCACCAATACATGAGCATTTTGGTTGCTCCAAATCCTCACCAACATTTGATGTTATCAATTTTAAAAATTTTAACTGTTCTGGACAGTATATGGTAGTCTTCATTATGGTTGTACTTGACATTTCCCTAGTGCCTAGTGATGTTGAGAATCTTGTCATGTGCTTCTTGGCCATTCCTGTACCTTTTGGAGGAAAAATACATGTTCAAATTTTTAATTGGGTTGAGAACATACATCTTTTTATCTTTATATTTCCAGTGCCTAGGATATGGCTTGACTCATAGTAGAGACTTAGAAAGAGAGAGGCAGCATGGAGGAGAGGTTAAGAAAGAGCCCAGGTTCTAGAGCCAGCCCACCTGGATTTGAATGCTGACTCCACCATTTACTATCTGTATGACTTGGAGTAAGTTTTTTAATGGCTCTAAGTCTCAGTTTCATCATCTATAGAAAAGGGATCATAACAGCCCTGCTTGCTATTATCACAAGTGTTAGAGAACTGTGGCACAACCAGGAATCCAGTTTCCTGGATTTGAACCTGGCTCTCTTTGATCTTGGGTAAGTTTCCTCATTTATATATGGATGTAGTGGCTACTTATGGGCTTTAGGTGAGGCTTCAAGGGGGGAATACAGGTACCTCCCAACACAGTGAGTGCCCCACACTGAGTGCTCTGTAAATGTTGGCTGTTGTCTTCACCATTACGCATGACTGAGAGGCTCTCCTTGCCCTGCAGATGTGGACGAGTGCACGGAGCGGGAGGACGAGGAGCTGTCCTGTGACCACTACTGCCACAACTACATCGGCGGCTACTACTGCTCCTGCCGCTTCGGCTACATCCTCCACACCGACAACAGGACGTGTCGAGGTGGGGCCCAGAGATGACTCTGTACATCGCTGTACATGCCCTGTTTTCCAGTAAGATTAGGGGAGGCTCAGAGGGAGGACAGATACGCAGTAGAAACAATTAAGTCAAATCAGAGAGCTGTGCCTCAGATACCACATGGGTTAAGATACCGAAATGCCAACCGCCTGGAAGTGGGGTGCAGGTTCTCAGAAGACCGCATTTGAAAAGCCCTAGCATCTAGGCCATCCTTCTTCCTGGCAGGAATTTCTCCTTCTTAATCCCTGTTTCCTCTCCTACTGTAGGTAACTGGCGTGGCCAAGTGAAGGGAGAATCCAGGTTTCCCAGTCCTCTTTCTCTGAGCCATGAGCCAGGCCTCACCCAGCAGATCCTTTCTCTCTGCATTTCCATGGCCCCTCAAGTTCCTCTGTGATAGAGAGAACATCAGGGCAAGGCGCAGAAGAGGGAGGAGAGAGGCAAAGACAGAGAGAGCAAGAAAACGTCCCATTCCTTTCAGCTCCCTTTGCTTTCACCTCTCAATATGTTCCTCTCTACCGTAGCCTCCGGGCTAGGGCAGGGATGGAGAGATGGCAGGGCTCAGCCACTTTCCAGGAGGATCTCCTGGTTAGCGGAGTAATAGCCACATAAGCCAATGGTCAAATGTAGTAAGTGCTGTAAAAGAAGTGTGGACTCGGCACCATCAGACCTGAGTCTGCACGGAGAAGTCACAAGCACTTCCAGAGACGGTGCCCTTGACAGAGATGAGAGAACAAGGAAAAGGAGGGCACTCCAGCAGAGAGAAGAGCTTCTGCAAACATTCAGAAGCGTGACAGAATTTGGAACGTTTGGGGAACTGCCAGCAGATTAGTATGACTGCAGGATAAGGATCTGTGTTTTAAAAAGATCCTTTGGAAGCAGAGTGAGGAATCATTGGAGGAGGGCAAGGCTGGAAACAAGAATTCTCTTCTCCCTCCTTCAAACCTTTTATTTGCTTCTGAATAAAACCCTATAGGACCCATCAGTATAAAGCAGGTGCATACAGGAGTTTTCTTGAAGGGGGTTATATATTCCACAGTTTTCATTCAGTATTGAGTACATAGGGACTAAGAATGAGCAATGTTTCTCCCCTCTAGCCCCAGGAGCCTTTTTAAACATTCTCTTCCTAATTACCTCACCCATGAAATTTCAATACCACAGATATACTGCATATATGTGTGTCTGTCTGTGTATTATGCCTAAAAAGAGTAACAGCTCCCCTTTCCTAAGAACCAGTTTTGGTCCCTCTGGGCATAATTTTCACCCCTCTTCCCCGTGAGAGGGCTTAGGGTAGAAAATGAAACCATGGGGATTCAAGAGACCACTCTGAACCTTGTTCTGCAGCTCACAGCTGTGGGACTTTGGCTTGATCATGTCCCCTTTTGAGGCCACAGTTTTCTCATTTAAAAGGAGCAGAATAAACAAGAGCTTAGGAAGAGCTGACGTGCCAGATCCAGGATGGGTCAGCCCAAGGACGGTGGTTCAGTGGCAATAAAGGGGCTTTGGCGGGCTAAGCCATGGCCAGGATCCAGGACACCGGGTCCTTGGTTGCAGCTGGTGAGGAACAGAGCAGAATCCCTGAGCCCAGGGGACTTACAGTCTAGTGGGGGCAGGAGAGTTCACTAACAAATATATTTCATAATGGCAAGTAGTAGTAAGCAGCATGAAGAGAAATAAAGCAAGGCGAGGGGCCATAGAGTGAGGGGTTGTGCAAGGGTCCTGTGTTAGAATGAGGGATCAGGGAGCCTTTGAGTAGAGACCTAATGGAGTCCTGGGCTGAGAAAACCAGACATTCCCCCTGACCACTCCATCTCAAAACCTCGCATCTCAGACCCCTCCTGCTCCCAACCAGTAGGAGAATCGGATGGGAAGGCTTATCACACTCACTGCCTTTAAGTCTTGACTCTGCAGATTACTGAGTGTGCGACCTTGGGTAAGTCACCTCCCCATCTGTAGGATGGGGATAATGATTCCTTCCCCACTTGCCTCTCAGGACCACTGGGAAAATCGTACTGTAGCAGATAAGAAAGGGGCTGCTGTGGCCACGGGTGTGGTGTGCCACTTTGCTCCGGTGTGTTTCCCACAGTGGAGTGCAGTGACAACCTCTTTACCCAGAGGACCGGTGTGATCACCAGCCCCGACTTCCCTGGCCCTTACCCTAAGAGCTCCGAATGCCTCTACACCATCGAGCTGGAGGAGGGTTTCATGATCAGCCTGCAGTTTGAGGACATTTTTGACATTGAGGACCATCCTGAGGTGTCCTGCCCCTATGACTACATCAAGGTAAGACCGCAGTGGACATTGATCCTGGGGATGCTGGAAAATCTTGGCTGAATTGAGAAAATTGATATTCTTGGCCCTCTACCTTCTCCCAAGATAGGGGGCTGAGCAGTTTGCTTCCCAACATGTACTTACTTAAAATAACATATACCAGCTTAATCAGATCCAGTCTAGGGTGCTTCCCCAATCCAAAACTAGCCCTGTGCCCACTTGCAAAATCCCTTCTGCCATGAAACATAATATTCTCTGAAGTAACAGCAAGGTGAGGGTCATACATCTTAGAACTCAGCCCATCACCCATCTTATCCCGGGAGCTACGCTGTGAGTCTTATCCAAGCACGTAACCTCTCAGGGCTTCACTTTTCCCTCTCACTACATAAGAATGACAAGAAGATGCACCCAGGATTGTAGACATCACCAGATGAGGGTTAAGGAGTGCTAGTCCTCAGAGGCGGAAGGAGAAAGAGTTAAAGACACAGGCAGGACCCCAGCCTGGTAGCTGCGAAATTCAGATCCACTGAGTGCTTCTTCCCGTCTCTGCATCCCAAACCCCACTCTCTCCTGGCAACTGCAAAACTTCCAGCAGGTTTTCTGGCTTCTACCCTTGCTCCACACAGCCTGGTCTCTCACACAACATCAAGGGTGAACTTTCTAAAAGCCAGGATAGATCAAGATTGTGCTTGGAATAAGCATAAACTCCACACAAAGTGGCTTTCCAACCTCAAGCCACAGCACTCCCGCTGCTCCAGCCCCACTGGCTTCCTTCTTGTGCTTGATACTTGCCAGGCTCCTTCTCACCTTTGACCTTGACCTTTAATGTGGTGTTTTCTCTGCCTGGAAAGAATTCTCCCCCCTTCTTCAAATGACAAGCTCCTACTCATCCTATATGTTTCAAATTCAATGTCACCTCCTCAAAGAGGCCTTCCCTGACTACCTATTTAAAGTTATTAGCTATTACATTAATGATGAGTTATAAGACTACATAGATTTTACTACATAAATCATAAACATGTAGCATATATTTATATTATATACGTATGTCATTCTAATTATTTTTATAATGCTTATCACAGCCTGTAATTATTTTGTTTATTATTTATAAGTCCCCCCACCCCTGACTAGACTAAGGGTCTTTGAGAACAGAGGCCTCTTCTATCCTGTGCACCTGGACAGGGCTCTGCCCCTTTCCAAGCTGTAATATGTTCATCTCTGATCAGAGGATTATTAATCTGCCTTGTCCAGGACCATTGTAAATTGTAAATGGGAGAGTGGAGATGGAAACCTTTCGTGAGTGGTAATGCCTACTAAAAATGTGAGTGAATACTAGGGGCTCACGTAGAATCTTCCAGAAAGTCCCGATGCAGTGTAGAGGCAAACCCTGCAACAGCCACTGCCACTCAGATGTGACCCTGCTTTTTTTCTATTTTTCTCCTCACAGATTAAAGCTGGTCCAAAAGTGCTGGGGCCCTTCTGTGGGGAGAAAGCCCCAGAACCCATCAATACCCAGAGCCACAGTGTCCAGATCCTGTTCCGCAGTGACAACTCGGGCGAGAACCGGGGCTGGAGGCTGTCATACAGGGCGACAGGTACTGCGGCCCCTCCCCGCCTGGGTCACACTGGGTCCCCATGCTCGGCCCTCATGGAGAAGTGGCTGGGGGT